TTTTTTTTTTTGGAAGAGTAGGAGATAGGGTGCAGAGAGAGGAAAGGGAGAGGGGAACGGAAGGGGAAATACAGAGATGCGGAGCAAAGCAAATGGTAGCAAGAGGGACTGCTTAAGCAGCAAGTCTAACCGCTATCAATATCTGACTGAACCACTACCACCGACAACAATAACAACAACAAATAATCAAAGACAATTACTGGCAAATTTCGATCACCACCCAAAAACTCATACTCAATAACATTTATTTCGTTCTTCTCCTCCTTTTTTTCGCTGATATTTTGATAAATCATTTTACTATTGTTTGTTGTTTTTTTTTTGCTCTTAAATTGTCAGTTACAGTAACACAGATGCTTTTCAGGACACAAAAAACTGTATGTGAAAAAAGGACTCTGCAAAGGCAAGAGTATTAATCCACAAATGCAGGTAAGAAATAAGAAAAAACATCAGTGACTTTGTGAGTAGTATAAAACTGTAAATGTGCATGTATTTTTGTCCATTAACACAATGATTAACAAAAAAAAACTTCTGATTGGGATGGAGAAATAGGAGGTAAGAAGAAGGAAGGAGAAACAGCGGTAGTGCGAGGAAGATGAAAAAAAAAAAGAATGATAAGCAGTGGAATTCAAAGGAATACAACTTTTTGTCACGGTAAGGCACGAACAACAACAACAACAACAACAACAACAACAACAACAACTGCAACACAGTAGCTATAGGAATCTGAGGAAACGTTGGAAGACGAGTCAATGGTAATGGTTGTGATGACTGGTATGACTGCTGAGTAAAACTGCTAGCGGAGTGATTTTGGTGCATAAAAAATAAAATCAATTGATTGTTTTATTGATTGGGTTGAAATACACTTCCCCTACACCACAACTACCCCCCCCCCTGCCTCCACCAACTCCTTCCCCTTTTCCTTTCCACCAAATACCCTTTTTTTGTCACCAACCTACTCCAAAAATTGGACACTTCTACCGTTTCGTTTTCAGATTATCCCAATATAGCCTATTCTTTTCACACATTTCCCTCCAAATAGTCCCCTTCATTTGCACAATCAAAAGCATTCTACTTTCAACTGAAGGAATTTGGTAAAACACTTAATTCTTTTATCTTCGCAATTACTTATGCTCCTCGTTTCTGCTCTTCCAATTTTTTCTTCGCTCTATTTCAGTATTTAAAAGTTAACTGCAACTACAAATATGAAATAACAACGAAGAAAGAAGAAACAAGCAAATAAATAAACCAATAAATGGCGCACAGAAAACATTGGGTATTTTTGAAAATGAACCATTCAAACTCATAAAGCTTTCAGTTGTCACTCCTTTATCTCTAACCAATTCCTTGGGCTCCCTTCCTTCTTCTCCTCCTCTTCTAATCGCTTAACGCACTATCTTCAAACCAATATATCTTTTTCATCTTTTTTTTTCATCTTTGCCTCGTATTTTAGTTGCCTACTTTTCCTCTTTTCTGTTTGTAATTTAAATAAAGTGTTGATTTTTATCATTTGATCGGTTTAATACGAAAAAGAAGAAAACCAGCTAGTTGCAACTAAATTAGTTGTTACCGTCTTTTTTTTTTACCGCATATTGGTCGTCTTCTATAACAACTGACAGTATAAATAAAAAAAGAAAATACAAAAATATAGCTTTCTTTTCTAAGTTATTTAGCTGCCCAAAATAAATGTCTGTTTTTCTGTTTATCAACCTATTCACTTACCTGTTTCATTTCTGTCTATCTAGCCAGCTGTCCAACCACGTTTGAAAAGTTGTAAAACAGTAAAAAAAAAGAAAAAAAAGAAACGGATGGAATCATAAGTGAGAGGAATAAACAGAGGGGGGAACAATACCGATTTTGCTCTTAAAACGTTGAAATCTTTGACAATACGATCATACATTTCATACAGAAATACCAGCAACAAAAAAATAAATGAAATAAAAAAAAGAATGGCACAAAGTTTGGAAAAAAACAATT